CATCGGGTGAGGGCCTCCAGCTCGGTTCGCAGCCGAGTGTGAAGCAGCGGGAATGACAATTCAGAGTAGAGCAGCTGCTGCTCCACATCGAAAGGAGCCAGCTGAGGTGGTTCGGGCATCTGACAAGGATGCCCCCTGGGCGCCTCCTGGGTGAGGTGTTCCAGGCATGTCCCACCGGGAGGAGGCCCCGGGGCAGACCCAGGACACGCTGGAGAGATTATATCTCTCTGCTGGCCTGGGAACTCCTTGGTGTTCCCCCGGATAAGCTGGAGGAGGTGGCTGGGGAGAGGGAGGTCTGGGCCTCTTTGCTTAGGCTGCTGCCCCTGCGACCCGGCCTCGGATAAAGCGGATGAAGATGGATGGATGGATGATTGTAAATAAATTCAAACAAGTAGCTTTTCTCTTTGTGCTGAATATCAACACTGTGATTTCTTAGATTGTAAAGCTTTACTTTAGTGCAACCAGTTGTAGAAGCTGCCACTCCAAATGTCTTTTGATAACAAGAAAAAAATACCTTTTCAGTACACTGCCTGAAGTTCTTCTCCGACATCTTCTGCCATCAGCTTTGTCTGCTGGTTTGAAGACAATAAACCACATAAAAGGTGATTTAGTCACTTTGTCTGCATCATGCAGCTCGAATATGTCGTGTAACGATGTTGAATGGCCGTCGTTATCCCTCTGCTGCGTCAGTAGGATTGTACTGTACAGTACTGTACTGTATCTCATTGATATGTGAGGAATTCTAATGAAACACAATAACAGACTTACATCATTAAAATATAAAGGGCAGGAGATATTTAGATATTTTTATATTTATATTACATTTTATAGCTGACGGATATTACTAAATAGAATTTACTAAATAGCTGGATGAACATGAAACATATGTCTATAATAACAAATGACCATGAGAGCCAGTAGAATTAATTCAACTGGACACTCGAAAGACGTCCTTAAATGCTCTTTAAGTGGCAGAACAGATGAACAAACAGTTAATCGCTTACTTGAGATGAAATCTGCTCAGCTACTTTGAAAACAGCTTCTAACTGGTTCCTCCTTTAACAGGATGACTGCTCAGGGGTAAGGCCATCATGTAGTCCAGCAACCTTTATGGTTCTGCTTTGATTCACCAGGAACTATTAGGGAAACCTTCCAGCGCCTCCTGTGAAAGACACAGGCATAAACACAAACATTTATTAACATGTTCCACAGTCTTCCAGTTTGATTTTCTCATCCTGTGGACAACAACGTACATGGATGCAGGTTTATTGTTAACTTTTGTAAGGTTTATTTAATGAACATATCCAGCTGCAGCTCCACTGTGATCCTGAACTGGATAAGCAATTAAGAAAAAGTGTCAATAAATGGACATACATCAACTTACTAAATTTATCCAAACAGACTGGACCAATAATGATTCACTGAGTTAGAGACTTTAACAGACTCTTCTATGTAAGAATGTCTCGTGCTGATATACCTGCAAACTTGACAACAAAGGTTTTTCAAACTGCAATGTAGCTGTCCTCTATGTCAGCTAACACATTTACATTCATGTCACATTTATTTCTGCTTTCCCATTTTATAATTATTACTTACATTTTGATTAGATACCTTGGGTTTTAAGGCTGCCAGTTTATCGCAGGGCTAACACAATATGTGTAACAAAAAAATCCACTTAATACCTTATCTTTAAAGATAACATTTTTCTCAGCTTTAGTGACCTGTCTTCTTTGTACGATTTGCCCTCGTATCATTTGTTCCTCATTTTTCAAATAAGGCACTGTGCATCTTCGATCTTGCCACTTTCCAAGTCAGCCCCCCAAGTCTTGGTGGGAAGACTTATTTCAGTTGAACCCTCACAGTACCTACAGTATTTATAGGTAACTAAAAGACTGGGCTTCTTGACTATTATTTGGAAGTCTATGCAAAAAGTACATGGAGCATGCTATCGTTTCTTTTTCACCAAACTCCCTGCCGGTGGCTGATGCCCTCGTCCCCTGTGTTCAGGTATGTACTGGCTCACTCACGGGGGCTGCCTGGCACCTGTGGCTCGGTCGGGCACATTCCGGGGAGTGGGGGATCCTCAGTCTTGTAGGCCCAGATAATGAGGAGCAAAGAGAGAAATATATTTGCATTCATCATCAGTTGTTCAGTTGTTTTCAGTTACAGTTTTTCTCAATCAATTTGATGACAAAAAGTAGAAAAAAGAATTAAATGAAAAGAAAAGAAAAACGTAAACAGTCATTGTGAGTTGTTGTTGTTGTGCCATTGTTTGTCACACACTGGACTGTGGCTGTGGTCTGTGGCTGTTAGGATGCCTGGGTCGTCGACCCAGGGTTTTTGAGTTTTTGATATTATTTATACTTCCTAGTTTTTGGTTTCTTTGAGTTCCGTCTTATGGCTTATGTCTCTGTCGTCTTTAGTTGCTCTGTCTCCCCTATCACCTGCATCCCCTTGTCTAGTTCGCGTCTATGTGTATCTTAAGTTCCTATATCCCAGTGTTCAGTCAGTGTTTGTGTCTGCCCTGTTCCCACGTCTCTGTGCCCTTTGTAGTGCCTGCATGTGAGTCTGTGTCTTTGTTCAGTCTGTGTTATGTGTTTCCTGTTTTACTTTGAAGGTCTCTGTCTTTTCTCAGTGTGTTCAGTTTATGCTTCTTTGGTCTCGTCAGTTCTGATTTGCCCCAGCTGTGTTTCCCTCCTGTTACCCATTCCCTGATTGCTCCCTCTGTGTATTTAAGCCCTGTGTCTCTGTGTCCGTGTCGCGATCTACCGTTGTCCTAGCTGTGTGTTCTGTCATTCCTCCAGTTTAAGTTTGTTTTGAGGTTTTTTTCAGTTATGTTATATTTTTGAGTACCAAAGTAAAGCCTTTTTGAGTTCACGTCTGTCTCTGGAGTCTGCACCTTGGGTCCTATTCCTGCCTGCACACAGCCACACCTAACAGTGGCAAATTTTACTCTTCACCATAGCATTTGGTCTCTGGCAGTTAGCTTTGTCACAAACATAAAGGATCTAGGGGTGCCTGCGGGCAAAATCTGTTTTAAAAACGTAAGTCATTACATTATCCTTTAAACACAGTGGGTTTATTGAAACACAAAGAATTCCAACACAGCATAGCTGCAACCATGTGGCATGTTATCTGCCTACAGAAAATAGCCAAATCTTACAGACAATGGTGGATGTCAGCCAGAGGGAATGTATCCACCCAACAGTCCAAAAAACAATTTTACTTTTGATCTGTTGCTTCTTGAGGTCATATGTAAAAACAGAGAGAACACATTAAAATGTCATGTCAATACATACAGTCTCTTTGTGCAGATTATAGAGGGACTTCACAAGCACCATGTCTGACACAAGCACCACAAAACACCAAACAAATTTTCCAAGTCCCACCCCCAGCCCCTCTACATCACAGCTGAGAGGCTCAAATGTCTTAAAATCAAAACATATGTGATAGAAAATTATCAATGTGCTAAAACAGAATTTTTCTCTTTTTCCTACTTACAAAGCATTTTATTCTTAATCTAAGAGAAATCAAAATATAAATCTGATCAATATATAAACAAATGCAAAAGTGTTTGAGTAGTAGAAATGGCTGTTCTAATTTCTGAGTTCTGTGTGTTAGTGTTTTCTGTGTGTGCACATGATCCAGCTTCAGGCTGTGTCAACAGCTCATCATACACATAATCCTGAATCAAAAAAAACCAAAACATTACGGCTTTGCGGCTCCCAGTGTTTTCTTTTGCGTGGAAACTGGGTCCAAATGGCTCTTTGGGTCTTAAAGGTTGCTGACCCCTGATCTAGGGGGTCTAGATGTATGCCTGAAGTGCACTGCCATGTAAATAATTTGCATTTACTGAATACGTACTGAGTACCACTGTTCAAAAGGTTTTTTTTGGTTTTTTTTTGTTTGTTTTTTTCACTGTTCAAAAGTTGAATAAAGAAACAAACTAATTTTTGCCTTTTTTATTTTTTTTATTAAAACCACTTTATAGAACATCACATCAGTTATAATGCAGAATCCATGTCATTTATAGTTTACAAATGACAAAATGTTTATACAAAATCATGACAGCGTTTACATGATATCACCCACTACTAACACTACTTAATTTACTGTATCTTTTGAAAAATTACCGCTATTTATACAGTACAAGACTTAAGAATATTTAACAAGAGCAAGTTTCATTTTGCCCTGGTTTTACTACCACACTGTTCACCAAAACGCAGCAAACCTTTACCATCTTATCCAGAAGGGTCACCTCTTCACCCTCACATGAAAGAAGTAATCTGATTAGCATGGTGGTATGTTCGAAGCAGGGATTTCGGAGTGCCCCTTGTGTAGAGCGGAAACCCAGTCACGATGTGTTTCATCCATTTCATAGGCTGGTTTGCCTGCAATAATGCCAAATAATTAGCAACTCTATACATAGAACGTAGTTCTGCAAAATCACTCATTAGGATGTTTGTTCTAATTTGCTATGACCTCAGAGTGCATCGAAAATGAAACAAATAGGCTATAAAGAGTGATATGAACTCCCACACAGTCATTTATTTCACTGGTATGCCCATAAATTTCTGTGTCTTTGGAAAGCAGAGTTGAACATATTCACGTGTAACGTTATTGGAAATTATCGGATTATGAGTAAATCAAAAAATAACTACAAGAGCAACGCACAGAGGAAAAAAGCTTATGGTAGGAATTAAATCTAGGTCAGCTGTTAACAAATTACTTATTACTTACAAATTACTTAATTATCATGTATATGTTATAAATTTGCACTAATTATGCTGGAATGCTGTCATCGTAAACTTACGGGTGCCTGTTTTATAGAAATGTATTTTGTCCTCACATTTTCAGATTTCCAACACCTTGATTAAGTTCTGTGTGCATGCATGAAAATGCACAAGCGCCGATAAGCGAGTACTTTTATTTTGTGAACTGTTGCCGGAAGTCTTGATGTTATTGGGTTAAACTTGGCACTGGTCCCTTGCGGTGACGGGGAGAAGTCTCGATCGGAAGCTCAGCACCTGGCGATGCGAGTTCACAGAGTTGTGAGGCGTCTCCAGGTGTTACACGGATCCCACCGCTGTCCCACCAGTCATTAACGCAGGCTTTCCCCCTGTATTTTACGCCCGATACACAGAATTTCCTGAAGCGATCATATGCGATTTTACGTGGTAATAAGGGGATGTCCGCTGTGTGAAACAGCACCGGATGGATGGAAGGATGTGGCCGTTCCATGGCGCACTGGAGTAATAATACAGTGAACTGACGAAGGATCGCTACAGTTTGGCTTTTCTCTTTCTTTTTACCCATCTTTGGAATCTGGTGGGAACGTGCAGTGTTTATTCCTAAGGCTTTAATCGCCTGTTATGTGCGTGGCAAGGAAAATACCCAGTGGAAGAGGTACAGCAGGATCCGACGTAAAGGCACAGAGCATCTGAAAAAGCTTCGTTTTCTGATTTGTTTGTTTTTTATGCTGGTGCGTAATGTACGTGGAATGAAGACAGAGAATGGATATAATTTGGGAGATACTGATCATTCTTCAAGCTAATTTTATTGTTTGTATATCAGGTGAGTTGTGGGTATATTTAAAAAAAAAACAATTCATCAATGAATTATCTGGAACTTTTTTTCTGAAATTCTGTCTGATATGGGTGAGATTTGGTTTATCAAACTAGTGTGCAGGAAATGGTCAGGTGGAGGGGGACGCATCAGAATGCACTCTAGTTTGTGCGCCTGGCGAGAATCATTCTCGTTGTTTCTCTCTTTGCTCACCTATACATACCTCTTCGCGTGTATGTGACCTTTTATGTGGGACTCAAAAACAGAGAAGGTATCGCCTCCAGCAACTGATGCGCAGTCTTTTGACACACGCATAACGCGAGATTGACTTTTTTTTTTCTTTTTTCATTTTGGTCACTCGATGGATGCATTGCAGAAGAACTCCCACAGTCTCTCCTCACCGGTCCTTTCCAGTTTTTGTGAAGTCTCTAGGCTCCAGAAACAGTTCACTTAGAGTTATTGTCACATAAAGCTGTTATGCGCACCGCTGAGTGCGCTGCAGTCTACGATATGAGGAGCAGATTTGGGGCTGTAGGTCATGCAGCAGATGTACCTAAGCTTTCGGCGCTTGCCGATGGAGCGAAGCTTTTACTCTAGCTCATGTTTCAAGCAAATACAGGAGTTCAACGCCCATTTCTATACTCCGTACCTAATAGAGCACGTTTCTTCTTTTATCGATATGTTAAAAGCACTTTGATAATTAAAAAGAAAGAATTGTGGCCCTTTTTGTCTTTAAAATTCTAAATTTGTCCGAATTTACCCGTAAGATTTTAGAACAAGACAGATATTTGCAGACAAAAAACCGATGCGCATCAAACAAGCGAAGCTTCATTTTAAACACGTATCCGCGCCTCGATGATAAACAGCAGGGACACGATTTGGTTATCTTTACTGCTCTGCCTTTATTTATTTATTTTTTATCCGTCTTTCGAAATGACGCAAACCTGAGAATTCACAACGAAGATGTGCGTAAATCCTCCGTGTTCACGCATTATGCACGCTAAGCTCTTATCTCATTTTTGTACCTACACGATGTCAGGGAGGGAAAAGGATTTATATTCCAGTCAACCTACTATATAGTGTCCTAGCTTCCCTCCCTCACTCCTTCCCTACCTTCCGGTAGTGACTGTTTTAAAATGGTTGTAATTAAAAGCTTAGTACGGACAACGCTGTTCTTTTTCAACACTATTAAACAAACTTGAATAAGAAGGTAGAGGATTAACTTGCTGTCAGCCCCAGTAAGAAAAATGTGCTTTTCAGAAACACAATCAGCTAAGAGGTGTGGAATTTAAAATACAGCTGAGATTTACTGCAGCTGTCAAACACCATCATTCATCACATACATTAGTGTTTAGTGTTTAATCTCAGTTGTTCTAACCCTAGCATCTGGTATAATAGTCATCTATCCACCCCCAAGCATCAGTCACCCATGGGCAGTGTTTTCTGTGCTAAATCTAGTTAGTCAATTATGGCCTTTTAAAATATGTCCCTTTATGAAGTTTATGAACCAAAACTTGGTTGAAAATGAATAGATTAAATGCTGGTTCTTCAGATGAACGACATCTGAAAAGATTATGTTTCTTTCTCAATCTACGTTATAGTGATCTTATTTGTACAAGTCTCTGCACAGTCAGTGCTTATTGTTCCCACATACTTGTGAAACCCAGTGATACAGAAAAAGACCCTAGGTTTAAATCTGCTAGTGTTCTGATGAGGTCATAATGGATAAATGTTTTGCTTACCCCCCTCTTTACCAATTTAATCTTCTAGGACCTGAAGTCCACATATGTGGACATCACATTTTGGGTTATTTCGACCAAAATACTCAATTTTGCTCTACATGGGCCTGATATCCACTTACAAGGGCATTATACTGCTACTGTTCTATCAAAATGTTAAACAAATATCCTCATATGTGGCTCTTATTTTTCTTAAAAACAAAAATAAGGTAAAAAAAAACAAACAAAACAAACTCTGGTAATTCTTTGCTTTTACATTCATCGGGCCCCAATATACCCAAATGTCAAAGAGAAATTAAAAATGCATGTCGTGGAAGAGTTTGGGTCTTAGGAGGTTAAATACGTCCAATTTGCAGCCAATCACAGAGTCAGCCATCCTGATCTTTTTTTTCTTCCTGTCTATTGTTGTCACCAGGTCTGGTGCTGCTCTCCCAGCAGACCACAACAAAGCAAATGGACTGGTTTTTATACAGCACTTTTCTACTTTACTTGAGCACTCAAAGGGATTTATGCCTCATTCACACATTCATGCAAGCACTTTATTCTATTCTTAAGGGCTTTCTATCTAACATTCTCTCTCCAATGGATGCATTGGAGAACAACTTGGGATTAGTAACTTGCCCAAGGATATTTGACAAGCAGAGTGGAGCAGGCAGGGATCAAACCACAAACCTTCCAATTGGTTGATGACCTGTTCTGCCTCCTTGGCAAAAACACAAAGATACAATATTATAACACAAGTGGAACAAACCCTGTGAACTTATTGAGGCAGGTAACTTCAGTTAGAGAGTGTCATACAGACTTACATGTATGCCTCTCTTCATATCATATACTAAACACACCCTCACTGTTTAGCAGTTTAGCAAATATCCCATCTCTCCCTCTGATGTGTCAGTGCTTCTGCTGCCTTGCCATCATTGCCTGCTGTTTCAACATTTCCATCACCGCAGCATACACCTGCAGTCTCTGGGGGATGTTTAGTCGTCACTCCCCTACTTCTGTGGTTACCATATTTATTGGAAGTGACGATCATCAAGACTGGATGCCAGGTTATGTTTTCCAGTGCTGATACGAAGCAATAACTTCAAGGAAGAGCTATCAGATAGTAATATCTGTTCCAAATTTGTTCCAGTTATTCTAAAACCAAATGAGATGTCTTATGTCAATTCAACGACATTTTTCAACACAGTTAATTGAAACATATTTATGCATGACATTCCTAAACACAGCATGAATAGCAATAACATTACTAGCTGCAAACCTGTCCATTTTGGAAGTTTGAGTAAAATGCAGTATTCATCTTTATATATCACTCAAGGTTTTAATTTCTTTGATTTATTTCAACTCCAACATAAATGTGTTGTGTAAATTGGCTCTAAAAGAGCTATTTTGACATCATTTTTACACATATGTCATTTGTGAACCATTCATTTTGCTTGTGCATGCAATTTACAACATCCTCAGCACCACAGAGATCATTCCTGGTGATGTGACCTAAATATCTCAGGCTATTCACAACATGTAGTTGTACTTTTGCCAAATAAGATGAGGGAAAATTAATCCACTCTAAACATGTTTAGATGTTCAGATTTTCAGTTTTGATCATCTTTTAGTATTTCTTATCCAGTTCAGTTTTTAAAAGTCAGTAGCTGCAAAGGAAATGAGTAAGTGGAACCTAGGCAGAGATTGACTTGGGTCTCTGTAACAGTGAATCCAAGGACATGTTAATATTCTCTTTACTCCTGAGGCTTGGTGTGGGCATGTACACATTCAGCTGCTCAGTTAAACACTGGCATGCGCGCTAACCTTTAGACTTCTGTGTCATCATGTGTACTTGTTGCCTGAGTCACATTTGACAGTGAAAATCTTTGCTTGATGGTGCTTGGGATTCTATAATGTGTCAGCAGTTTCCTTTCAGTGACATTTATTCTTTAACAAATATCTGATGGATTGGAATACATTTATTAGCCAAATGTAGATACACACACATGAATGTGGACTGTGATAAGCAAAACTTCAAAGGCAGCCTATCATGCACAGTTGAGCCTGGATTGTGGACACAAAAGTCTCGTAATTGACAAGGCTTTAATCTATGCTGTAATCAAGATGCAAAGGTTGGTGTCGCTAAGATGGCAGTGAACATGAGGCTGACTCACTTGGTGCTGTGACAGAACCCCTAGGTTAATTTATGAAGTGGAGGATCATTGGAAATCAAGGATACTCATAGTAGGGCTGTTTCAATCCACCAGTACACTATAAAGAATTTGCAACACATCAATCACAATCTGATTTAAGTTGCGCCACATCTACAAGCTATTTTCAGCTTTTCTCTTATTCACTGGGGGTCACCACAGCACGTAGCTCAAGCATCACTGGCTACCATTATAATTCTGATAAGAATATTGTTTCAAAAATTTAGTAAACAACTTTGTTAGTACATTTTCAGCCCCATTTTTCTTTTGAGAATAGATGTTAGTAGGTGGTGACCTTTACAAACTAGCTATTAGTTACTCTTTTGGACATTATACCCATGAATTTACTTTTTTGTGATTTCTAAATATCTTTATGGATATGCACTGTGTTGGAACAAGGCATCGAAGAAGATAACAGTGGTTGAATCTGCTGTGATGAAATCTATTCCCACTGCTGTGTAATACATTATTGTAAATTTAAATGTTATTAGGAAATGATCAGACAAAGTGGGTTTTCAGAAAACACTGTTAAATGGTGTGAGTGTGATTAAAATGGTGGATGGGTTCTTTTGCACTTTGAGAGAAGTCAACTAAGTCTAGTAATAGATTCAATGTTGTACTGATGCTGTTATTTTTATTATCTACATGGATGTTAAAATCACCAACAGCAATTATTTTATCTTAGGCAGAGCACTAAATCAGATAAAAAGTCAGAGTAAGGCCCAGGTGGACAATAGAGAACAACAAATAAAACTTTTTTTGAGTTTTCCAGCTAGGGTGGACAGGGCTAAGCTTCAGGTTTTCAAGTGAACTACAATTCTGCCTAGGTCTTTGGTTGATTAACAAGCTGGAGTGGGAGATTTCTGCCACACATCCCCTCTGGCCTGTGTTTCAATGATTCTGTCAATTTGTAATACTCAGAGGTGTTGATTCATTTAAACTAACATAATCATTATGGTGTAACAAGGTTTTTCTTTCAGGCAGAGTAAATCAATTTGTTGATCAGTTATTCATTTATGTACTAACAGGGACTTATGCTGGGCAGACACTGTGCGATTTTTTCAGTCGCGCGATTCAG